ATGCTTCTTCATGTGGTTTCTTTCTTGGGCTCTAACTGCAGCAGAGGGGCAGAGGCACCCAAGACAGCCAGAGGGGCAGAGGCACCCAAGACAGCCAGAGGGGCAGAGGCACCCAAGATAGCTTCACACCAAGACAGCTCAGGCCCTAGGGAGCTCAGCCACAGCCCTGTAGGACTGGCGTGGAGACACAAAGCGATGTGACATGAAGAGACTCAGGTGAGAGAGCTGGGATCAGCTCCATGAGACTCAGCAGTGTCTCTGCACAAATACGGGTGTCACCTCCCTTCTGCAAGGCAAGGGTCTGGCTCTTCCAGCTGAAAGGCAGCAGGAACACTGTGCTAGCCTTCAGGGCAGATCCTTCCAGCCTCCCAAGGCTTGTGGAGGGGGAGTCCAGAGAGCTCCAGCCACATTCCACACCCAGGGGTTTGGAAGGAACCACAGGGCGGGTTGCCTTGGAGTTACTCAGCTCATGGAAAGACTCTGCCTGAAAGGATTTGGCTGCTTTTCCAAGTCTCACTCCCTGGAGTAGGGCAAAGGAGACAGAGTCCCAGAGGAGGTCTGGGCTCGTGTGTCTACTCATGTTCCTGCCAAAACATTCACACCCTGCACTGCTCTCACACACTGCAAGCTTGCTGCGGCCAAGATGTGCACCCAGAGCCAGGGTCAGCGAGATGTGGAGACATCGCCTGACCCAGCTAATGGGAGGGCTCCCTTCTGCACCACTCACCACCCACCCAACTGCCACCTCACAAGCCCTGACAGCTCCTGAGTGTGCAGGACTAATGTCCACACGCAGTGGGCCAGCTGCTCCTTACCTGTGAAGAAGGGACTATTTCTTCTTCCGAATCTGAGGTCTCACTGGAATCATCACTGCTCTCCACAGCTGGAGGGGCTGGCACTGGTGCTGCTGCCACAGCTGGTGCCTTCTTCACATTTGTCAGCTGGGGCACAGCATTGGTTTTCACTACAGGAAAAACACATGAGATTGTCACTGTAAGAAAAAGTCACTCTGTGGCTCTCCAGAGCAGCTGTCACAACAGGCTGGGCCATTCCACGTGCAGGGGAGAGAAGGAAATCCATGAGGATGCAGGTGAGGGACCCTGACCACTACCAGGAGACTTACCAGCTGGCAGAGGCTGTATCTGTGCTGCAGGGGACTCCTCTTCACTGTCAGACGAGTCACTGCTCCCACTTTCTGAGGCCTGGCTTTTCAAGGTGCTTCCCACTGCTTTTTCAGGCGACGCAGCTTTAGCAGCCTGGCTCAGGTTGGGGACAGGCCCAGGCTGCTCTGTTAACCTCTTAACAAAAAAGAGACACACACCCAGAAATGTGGTGTTAGTACAGGTGTTGTTTAGGAGTTTATGTGCAGTTTCAGCTCGAGTTGGGTTTTGTTTTACCCTAACACAGCTGTTACTAACACTCACTCCATCCTTGGAGTGTCAGCATCAGAAGGGGTTTCAGTTACTGCCTGGACTGAGCTGCTGAAGACACGTAGCGCTGCATTTAGCAATCTGCTTTTGCCAGGAAGCCCCACTGTGTTTTACTGCATCAGCATGCAGGGCTAACAGGGGTCAAGCTCATAACAGCAATTCCTTATTGAGGCCAAGACACTGGCTGGACAGGAACCTGAGGGCAGGAGAAGCGCTGCAACCCTGACACCCCCATTCCAAGGAATTTAAGCAGGACCTCTGCCCAGCTTGGGGAATCAGAAGGAGCTGAGATGTCTTGTGCCAAAACATTTGCAAGATTCAGAGACAGTATCAGAGTAGCTACATCCCAGAGCTGCTGACAAGCTCAGCATAGACACAGGGCTGACACAAGTGTTTGGGAACACAGAGAGCAGGCAGACACAGACCAGGACCCACCATGGAAACTCATCTGTCAACAGGTCTAAGAATTCAGAAATCTCCAGACAACAAAAAGCCGCTGCAACTCAGTTGGGCTGTGACTTTCTACAGCACCTGTCAACACTCTGATGTCCCAGGACAGGCCACGAGCCCCTGCCACAAGCAACTCGTGTGTCAGCACTAGGAAGCCACAGTTAGCACCAGATAGACAACTGCCAGGTGAGATGATCTCTTCCCAGCCCCTCTCCCAGCTTGGGCTGAGAGCTGCAGACATCCCTCCTGCACGCTGCCAAAGGCTAGTGGTGGCAGAGGGAGCTCTTGTAGAGAGATCTGGTAACTTCACCACCCGCAGATACTCTCCAGGCTGGCAGTGCTCTGCACCCACTCACTTTACTCCACTCATCGCTCATCTCCGGGCTGCTCTGCCAAAGAGCACATCACACTTGCCAGGGCAGGCAGACCCCATCCAACCCACACGTGACGGCAGCTCGATTTGGCACTCCTGTCTCTGGGCCTCCTGCAAGGAGGCGGGACAGACTCCTGCCTGGCTGCACAGCCCCTGTCACCCCTCCTTTCCCAGCCCTGCCATGCTGCTAAGGCAACAATACCCTCTCAGCCCACAGCAGAGGACCAGACAGACTTTAGCAGAGTCAGGTCACCCGCTGGCTGCTCCCGGCCAGCAGCTGAGAGCACCAGCCTAGCAGCTGCCTTGGAGGACGGATCTTACAGTGCTTCCTGGCACAGCCCCACTGAGGGCTGCCACTGGGGCAGTGTTTATCATCTCCAAGCCAAACACTAAACAGACAACAGCATCTGCATGTTTATCCCATTACAGAACAGCACTCTGAACAAGCCAAGCACATTTTGACTCTGCTTGAGAGAAACAGAAACCTCCACAAGCAGGAGGGGAAGGGGGGGGATTGCAAACCTCACTTGTCTGTTTTGTTTTGATACCAGTGAGTCACTATCTCCAGGAGAGAGGCCAGATTTGCAATGCTGAAGAGAGAGAACTATTTGAAACAGACAGAAGAATTCACACGCTCTACTTGAACACACTAGCTCCTCTCCCTCCTGTCCCGAGCGCTGCTGTGTGAGGGAAGAGCCTACTGAGATCAGACTTCACTCAAAGACCTTCCTAGCAACAGGACTGGCTTCTCCCTCTGCTTGGATGTGTGGCACAAGGGCTGCTTCATTCTCATTTTGTTAGCAAGAGATTGGGAAAGAGCTGCCATCCAGAGGCATCCTGACACAGAAAGAACATAACAGCATCCACAGAGAAACCACCATAAGCTTTGCGCAGCCTCAGGTCCCCTCAGATCCTCCTGGGAGGAGGCGAGAGTCCCTCCATCCACCTCATTTTGGTCACTGCCAGACAGCTGCCACGTCTTACAGTGTGTCCTCCAGCAGGATCAGGCCAGCAGTATGGCTGAGCTACACACAGGAAGCAGGGTAACACAAGCAGAGAGCTTCTGACAACTTAAAGAGTCGCAGGCACTGAAGTAGCTCAGAGGGGAGGAAAATAATTCAAGAGGAAATAATTTTTCCTGCTCCCTCTCCAGCCCCCAAACCAGGAGCTGCCTGCAGCTCAGTACCAGTGTGATGACTCAGCTCCTGCACAACCCATCTGCCACTCCACTGGGTCCATTTCCATCACGCAGCACTGCCTGGCAAGAGGGGGAAACAACGCCGAGCCACGTGTGCCGAGCACGTTGTAACGACCACGCTCCAGCGCTGCCTGTGCGGCGTGGAAGCATCACCAGTGTACCACTGAGACCAAGATCTCGTCACCACACTCCAAAGGTAGGACTGCCACCCGCAAGGGAGCGGGGACAGGGTTCAGGGAGGGAGAGAGGCTGGGATCCTCCATTTCTTGGGAGATTTGTCTCTCCCCACAAGGCCTGAGGTCCAAGATACAAACTTGTAGGCTCAACTTCTACCAGTGTCGCCTGCACGAGTTTTCCTGGGATGCTTAAGGAAGACACAGGTTCCCAACACACATGCATGTGCATCTCACAGCTGGTCCTGGTAAGCAGGAGCCTGTCCAGGGAGGGTTCAAGTGTCATCTTTGGCTCACAACATCCAGGAAAGATGAAGCAGAGCAGAATTAACAGTTCAAAAAGAATCA